GTCGTTCTCTTTGTGGATGTGGAGGGAAGGTGTGATTTCCCTCTTTTAAGGTGTCACTTCTCTTTTCTATGTGGTCGTTCTCTTTGTGGGTCAAATTTCTTTCCTCTCAGAAGGAAAATAATGGGATTGTTCTAGTGTCCTTTTGGAAGCCCTTTGCTAACAGATCCTTTGAAGTAAAGACAATAACCATTTGTCAGCCCTGAGATTGTGTTTATTAATACATGCACACAGAGCAACCACTTCAAGTTTTATTTGAACAGTGTTTTGTAAAATCAAGACCAAGACTGGGTATTTAAGCAGGGCAGGGGGTGGGGGTGGGGTGGGGAATTAGTGGATCCCTTCCTCTTCCATTTGCACTGGTCCCTGTAGACACAGGAGAGGGGACAGACACTGCCTCTCATCTTGTCACCTGAGCTAGGGGTCTTCCCTTGATGTTCCCATCTTTCCTCTTAGTCTACAGTTTTCTGCTTTTGTGGACATCACAAGAGATACCGGCTGGATCCACACAGGGTAGGGGTGGCAAGGGGGAAAAGCAAATGCAGCTGTGAATAGTGTGAAAGGGGGAGAAATTGTGTCCGCATGCTGCTCACTGCTGTCTCTACTGCGGTACCACTCCCCCTTCTCCTACATCGTGTTGGTGCAGAACTGCTGACATGACAACATTTGCAGGGGGGGGGGCTTCCCCCTTTCCAGCTTCCTCCCATATCTTGGGAGGAAGGAAATAGAGGAGCCCCACGAGTTATACCTGGATTGGGCATGACATGGCGTGGATATTTCCCAAAACAGTAGCAGCATCCCACTGTCCAAATGGGGGAAAGATCCCCATGTGGAAGCAGCCCCTGAAATACCCATTAACCGCACTATATCTGAACACAAACCAGGGAAAAGAACTGTGTTTCCAACCTCGTTATTTATTGCATGTAAATGTCTGCCTTTTATCCAGGAAGTTCAGGGAAGCACATATGAAATGATCCCATTTTATTCTCACAATAATGCCATGTGTAATCAGAGAAATGGCAACTGGGTCAACATGTCCCTTGGAATGAAATGGTAGAAAGTATATCGCTCCATGCTGCTCGTGGGGAATGGCATGATCAAATGTGAAAAAAAATCTCCAGGAGTTAATTAAACAAAAAACAAACTCACAGCAGGGAGAGGGTGAGGTAGAAACTATTAAGCCTGACCTACTAGGTTTCTAGATGTAGGGACTGGGATCTTTATAAAGGAGCATAAGAATGTAGTATCTTCTATCTGCAGTATGATGTGGTACAGTCCATTCTTCCTGTCTCTGTGTGCATTTGTGTGTATGGGTATGGGTATGTGGGGGGGGGGAGTTAGCATGCAAGTTTTCCTTGGCTGCATCCACATATCATTGGAAGTCATACTTTGCTTACACTATAGAAATTCTTTGCCACTGAACTGGTTGATCCACAAAGAATAATTCAGGGGCGAATGATGGCTATAGTGCAATGACAATGCGTCATCCGGTGTTCTTCCCAGTGGTGGGGATCATAACACATGAACATACTGTGTGCTGTCTGGGGCCCAGGGAACCTGTTCTGGCGATTTTAAGGTCCAGTTGAACAGATCCACATGCCAAGACACACAAATGTGAGGTAGCTTGAGCAGAAATCTGTGCAGAACCATCTATGTGCATAATAGGTGTGCATGCAGGCTTGTATGGGGTGCCTTCACCAAATCAGCCAAGGCGTGACATCACTGTGAGGTTCTCCTGCACTGTTGTGTACCGCCCTTTTTGAAGTGAACTTTCCTACTTACTTGGGCCAAAAAAGCACCAAACCACAAGCAGAAGTTCACATGCGTATGCTCTCTTATAGTCAAAAATAAGACTTATTTAATAAATCTTTCTTTTCAGTAAAGAATTGATCAGTAGCTTTTCCCTGAGCGAGCAAAACAAACAAAAAATGGTGTCAGACAGAGAGAATAATACTGTATGTGAAAGACTTGCAATCGGGTCTTTTTGGAATTCTGTGAGGACTACATATGTTTTGCAGTGACAGGAAGGGTGAGTTGGACCTAGCTAAAAGTGTGAAGATGAATATAATACTCAAAGAGGTCATAGTGGCTCATGGTATGAGCTCAGCTTCTTTCCCTGCTTCAAAAGTTTCATGATAGATGTTTAGGCTTGCCAGTCTCCAGGAGAAGCCTGGAGACCTCCCAGAATTACAGCTCCACACCACAGAGATCCATTCCCCTGGAGAAAATGTATGGACACTGGATTCAACGGGATGATACCCTGCTGAGGTCTCTCTCCTCTACAAACCTTGCTCTTCCCAGGCTTCACCTTCAAATCTCCTGGCATTTCCTAACCTACAGTTGACAACCCCATAAAATGAGCATTCTGTGATGATGAATACTGGGTCACATATTAGGCCTGCCTCTGTACTTGCTTTGGGAAGGCTGCTTATGCTTTAATTGTTTTTTTTTTTTAAAGCACCATATGTGTGTTTATCTGTTTAAAGATCCTGTCAGGCAGGGCCATGTGTGCCATAAAACCTAATGCTAGATACCAGAGATATAAAGCTCCAAGTTGGTGTGTCTTCACTGCAAGGCCCCATGGGCTGGGAGAGGGGCAGAGGAAAAGGAAAACCCGGATGGGAGGACTGGACTGGAGAGAGTGGAGTGCTGGGCAGACACTCCCATGCTGCCTAGAGGGGAGGCAAACCCCTTCCCCAGCCCTCTCCCACTACCAATGCCGTGAGCCTCAATCCAGGGTAAAAATACGAAGCAGCTGTGTGTTGTGAGCTCTTCCCTGCCCCTGAGCCACCATAGAAGGGGACTGGGAAAAGAAGTTGAACTAACCCCCCCACCTGCAGAAGGGGGGTCAGTGGCCCCAGTCCAAGTCCATGTGCACAGAGGGACCCAGGCCAGGCAAAGCCCGATAAGCTGGAAATGCTCGTGCAGCAGCAGCCACCTCTGGCCAAGGCCACCAAGCAATTCATGGTGGTATGGTGCTGGGTGTTCAAGCCAGAGATCATCAGCAAGCTGTGCCACCCCCATGCGGGAGCAGCTGCCCAAGACTGATGGCTGCTGGATCATCTGATGGGGGAAGCAGGCACTGGGCACCCAAGGCCACACATTTGGCAGAGGCCCATCGACCAGGCTAACGGGATTGCCAGCACACCCCACTCCAAGGCGGCAGTGGCCTATGGCTGAAGACTGCTGGGTGGTCCATGGGGAAGGGAGGCCTGGCTGCTGAGTTGTGTGCTCGGTGGCAGCACTAGGCCCCCGATGTGTGGAAGAAACTGCCAAAAGAATGCCCTGTCACGAGTCAAAGCACAGCCACCAGATGGGTGTGTGTGAATATGGCAACATGTCATGAGCCAAAGCACAGCCGCCAGATGGGTGTGTGTGAATATGGCAACAGCACTGGCCGCCAGCAGGCCCCAGCAGAGGATCGTCTGCATCACCCAATGGGCAAACACTGGTCCCCGCAGCCATTCGGAAGTCAGGACAGCACACCCAACACTGCAGGCCAAGCAGAAAGGTGTGCGATTTCACCTTGGAACCCTGAGCCAGGATGAATGTGGCTGCAGTGGTGTCATGAGTTGGCCCAATTTACCAGTGAGGCTGCCACTGTAGCAAAGTTCCCAGACCTCCGTTAGGGGCGGGGTTTCCTCTGATTTCAGGTTCTGCTTGACTGCTGCTAGGGTTCCCAGACCTACATTAGGGGCGGGGTTTCCTCTGATTTCAGGGGCTCCAATCTGCTGGTAACTATAGAGTTTTGACCAAAATGCTAGAGTGACGCCATGCGATGCGCCTGGCATGATGATGTTACCCCTGCACTGTGCACCAACAATGTTGTGCACAACAATGCCCCCCTGTCCTCCCCACTCCCAGCAGGCTCCCTCACAACCTCTGCCACCCAGGTAAGTAGACCTGGCAGCCCTAACTGCAGCAGATTGTGGCTTCTGCCATTCTGAAGCCACAATCAGAGTACCCCCCCGCCCCCAGCGGCCTCCTGTTCCCTCCTGCACACCAGTTGCTCACAGGCTGGCTAAGAGCCCCTGATGGGCCTCCCTGTTGTGAAAAGGCTCTGGGGATAGGGGGAGAAGATACTTTGCTGAGGTCATGGATGCTAAGCACCCAAAGCTGGCTTCTGTAGCATACCTGCAGACTGTTTTTGAGTGTCTCAGCCTGGAGAGAGAGAGAGCGAGAGAGAGAGATTTGTTTGTACTCACCTTGGTGAAGACCGTTTCCAACCAGCTCCATTGCTCTACAAATGTTAAGTTGGTCTTTACCCTAAAATAAAAAAGGGATCCATTTGGGAACTAAAAGGTCTTGTGCTGAGACAGACAGGACTTATGCTGTTTTAAGGGCAAACTACAGGTTATACCTAGGGATGCCAACCTCCAGGTGGAGCCTGGGGATCCCCTGGAATCACAGTCCATTACAGAGATCAGTTCCCCTGGAGAAAATGGATGCTTTGGAGGGTGAGCAATATGACACTGTACCCCACTGAGGTGTCCCTGTCCTCCCCAGGCTCCATCCCCAAATATTCAGGAGATTCCCAGCCTGCATCTGGCACACACCCCGCCCTCCACTAGTGGCCAGAGGGGACCCAGCAATCCTAGTTACATCTAACGGTGTGTGACCCAGTGCCCCAAACACTTTTGGAGGAGAACATTTAGAGGAGAGAACTAATCTGGAGGGTATGGGATTAGGGTTTGCAAAATCATGTGGCTACAGGTACGTTTTGCAATGGAGCCAATGGTAGCTTGAGGCTGGCAGGTTAAGGAGGAGAAACCTGCGTGGAGGAGAAGGCTGCAGCTGCTTTTGCCCATGCACCTCAGTCGCAAAGAGAAAAGGACACGCATGAGTCTGGGAGGTGCAAAACACCCACATGTCTCCTTCACGGCTCTCATGGCACCATCCAACAAGCATGAGGACTTTGTAATATGTAAAGTAGCCCCTCTGAAGCAGTTTGGATTTTAACATGGATGTTTGTTGTTGTTTCCTATCCCCCACCCCCCCAAAAATTATGGCTTTCTGGGTGTCCCCATCCTCCTCTGCTTCCTCTTGACCATCTTGGGCTTCCCTGCTGCCTCTTCAGCTTTCTTCCTCGCTTCCCGGAGTTCCTGGTATCGCCACCGAGGCAACCTCAGTGTATTCGGGGAGGCTGCGGAGGGGTCTGGCAGCTTCTCTGCCCATTGGGCAGGCGATTTGGTGAGTCTGATTTTTGGGATTCTACCGGGGTAAACAATGTTGCGATGCAAGCGGAAAGGAAGGGTGAGGAGTTTCACGATGGTACTGTGGGGTTTGTACGGCACCAGAACCCAGTTTGGTGTCATGAGTTGGCCATTGCAAGAGGATTCGCCAGCCATGGATTTGGCATCAGGGTCTGGTGTGTACTCGTTGAGGATCTCTGGCACCGAGATCCTCTGCTTGCCCACTTCTGGTGGACTGTCGGGACAGATGGTTCGGCAAGCAGTGGCCACAAAGGGACTGGCCAAGCAAGTGGTCATGCGCACCATGTGATCCAGAACACCATCGGGCTCAGGATCATGGGGAAACCTGATAGTGAACATGGCACGGATTTTGTCCGACAGGCACTCGGCCCGGGATCTGTCCAGGGTCTGTGCCACCAGCGTAGGCAGCGCAGGCCATTCAGGCGAGTACTTGTTACTGAATTGCTCAGCACACGGACGCTTCAGAAGGGTTCGGATCCGCACGATGGTTTCAAAGCGTCCGGTCAAGGCTGCCCACTCCCGTGCTGTCTTCCTTTTCACTGGGTCCACAGCTGTCAGGTCAGCACCTAGGAGTAAATCATGAGTTAGATATCCAGTTTTGTTCCTTTCACTTTGATGGTGCCACACTTTCAAAATGGCAGCCACAAAAGCACGTGGGCTGCCCTTACCACAAACTCCTGCATGCGGGGGAGAAGGCAAGAAAAGTCTCTGAAGGCGTTTCTGGCACTGAAGACTATCAGGTTTATATACATATAGCAGAGCTGTTAGGACACCTTCAAGCTTGAGTGGTTTTATGTTAAGCACAGGATTAAGGGGGAAGGATTAGGAGGCTCTTCTGAGAACACGTATTCAATGGGCAACTTCCTCCCCTAGTCCTGTTGTCTACCATCTCCCTGGCTGTAGCACCGCTCATTATAACAGGTGGAGCGGAGGGGGTGTACAGCAGGACTGGAGAAATAACAGGATGGAAAAATGCAGCTGCTTTACCTCCTGTTGCATCGGGGAACTTAAAAGACCAACACAGATTTCTGGGTTATGGAGCTGGTAACTGCAAGTGTTGCAGAAATTGAGTAGGTTAATGGGACAGCAAGGTGTGGGCCAGAGGAAATTCAGAAAGTTACAAGTTAGGTAAAAACATTTGGATTGAATGGACCATGAAAGCCCTCTCATAGATCGATCATTTGGGACTAAATATCACTGGAACAGTGAGTGATTTGGGTATAGAGGATTATATATTTGCTTATGTCTGACTGACCACAGATTTTGCAGTTCTGGTAAACGTGTTGCTCTAAAGTCTGCACCTGAAGAAAAATGGTCCCCAATAAATCAACAAACCATTGATCAAATTCTGCTAAAAAGATAAGCTGTAAAATAGGGCAGTCTTGTCATCTAGAAGTTGTACACATGTAGCTCCCATTACAAGGACTGCTGGTGATCATGTAGTCAACACAACTTTCTTCCCAGCAACTACCCATGAATTGTATCCATTTTATTTATAAAATGCTTATAGACAAGTTTTGGAGCTCAACGCTGACAAGATGGAGATCATGAGTTGGTCTGTCTGTAAAATGCAAATTACAAGCTAATGCCACCTCAGTTTGCCTTGGGCTGTGCAAAGAATGGAGATGAAGTTTAAGCCTCAAAGGCTATTTGAAACAAAGTCCCTTCTCTGCTACTTGCACAAGACAACAAACCTTCAGTTTCCAAGTTATAGGCAGACCAAAATCTGTGATTTTCATCTTGTCTGTTTGAGCCCAAAGATGGAGAGCCAAATGAAATCTCAGTCACATGGCCATTTTTACATGGATAGCCCCCCCCCCATTGGCACTATGCATGTGGCAAACAGGTGATGTGAACACAAATTGTGATTATGCACACCAGTTTTTAACACAAACGACGAAGATTTGCATTGAGATATGTGCTTGTGATCAAACAGGTGGAGCATGTTGTTCATCACATTCACGGCCCAGCTTGAAAAAAAAGATTCTGGGCACACAGTTGAGTGAAATCCAGAAGGGCAAAGGAAGAGCTTGTTTGGCCAAACTGTCTTGGGAATATTTCTTAGTTCATGAGCTCTAGCAAAAGGTGCCCTCCCTATGTTCAAGACAGCAGCTGCAGACTGTTCCCAAGCTCAGAGTGCTGCGATTCTGTGTAGTGTAATTCTGTAGGGTATATCAGTTCTTTGCTGAGGGCTGTGGTTTTGTCTCCAGCCCAGATGGCTCCTTCCTGTCCAGTTGTGCCCAGTCTGCAGGTTGTGTACATCAGATGTGATGCTGGCAAATTCTTCCATGCAATTAATTTTAAAATACTTATACTCTGCCTGTTCTTGAAAGCTAATTGCACCAGTCCACTAGATATGGAACAATGGAATCTGTCATCTCCCCACGTGACCAAAGTTTCGTAGACTGTAAGTGTGGGGCAGTGATACAGTGCACACTACTGCCATTGTGGTTAGAGAGTGTCAGACTGGAATCTGGGAGACTTCGTTTTGGGTCCCCACTCTGCCCTGGAAACTTGCTGGGTAACCTTAGACCAATCAATATCAGTCTAAGCTACAATAGCGTATTCAGCTCCAGGTTGGGAAATTCCTGGATATTTGAAGAGGGGAGCCTGGGGAGGGAGGGCTTTGGGGAGAGGCCTCAGCAGGATATAATGCCACAGTGTCCACCCTCCAAAGCAGCGTATTTTCTCCAGGGGAACTGGTCTTCGTCATCTGGGGCTCAGATGTAATTCTGGGAGCTCTCCAGGCCCCACCTGGAGGATGGCGACCCTAAACTCATAGGTTGATGCGAGAATAAAATGGAGAAGGGAGAATGATGTAAGACCCTCTGGGTCCCCACTGGAGAGACAAGTGGGCCGTAAACAAAGTAAATAAATAAATAATGACAACCAAACATGGCTGTTTAGACAGAGGAAGGGACTGCTGTGCTTCCTAACAGTCAGCAGATGTCACCAGTGACAACTCAAAAGGATGGAGAGAGACTTCAGTGAGGAATGGGAGACCCCAGTTTCTATCACCTGGAGCAGGATGCTGGTGTACTGTGCCAGGACTGCTTCCGAATAAAGGGGCTTATTTGGAGGTTATACATAATGTGAGTTTTCATGTGGTGACCAGAGGTAAGCCCCCTAATTATCTGGGGATTCTTTTAAAGCTAATATTTCTTTAAGAGAAGAAGAAGAAGAGATTGGATTTATACCCCGCCCTTCACTACCCAAAGGAGTCTCAGAGCGGCTTACAGACTCCTTTCCCTTCCCCTCCCCACAACAGACACCCTGTGAGGTAGGTGGGGCTGAGAGAGCTCTGACAGAAACTGCTCTTTTTCAAGGACAGCTGTGCCAGAACTATGGCTTGCCCAAGGTCATCCAGCAGGTGCAAGTGGAGAAGTGGGGAATCAAACCCGGTTCTCCCAGATTAGAGTCTAAGCACTTAACCACTACACCAAACTGGCTCTTAGGGTGAACACTTTACATTATTTTTGAACAAATTCATCCTTTTTGTTGTGTAAATCAGAGAAGTGTGTTTGAATTGATTCAGTGTGATAACAGAAATTTAGGAGATAAGAAGAGAAGAGACTGGATATATACCCCGCCCTTCACTCAGAGTCTCCGAGCAGCTTACAAACTCCTTTTCCTTCCCCTCCCCACAACAGACACCCTGTGAGGTGGGTGGGGCTGAGAGAGCTCTGACAGAAACTGCCCTTTCAAGGACAGCTCTTGTCTGAACAGAACAGCAACTTAGCCTTTGCCCTGATTTGGATAGCCCAGGCTAGTCCAATCTTGTCCGAACTCAGAAGCTAAACAGGGTCGGCCTTGGCTAGTATTTGGAAGGGTGACCTCCAAGGAAGACCTGGGTCATGGTGCAGAGACAGGCAATGACAAACTACCTCTGAAACCACCTCATCTAATAAACCACCAGGGGGCATTGGATCCCACAGAGTGTCCTGAATCCACTCAGAGTCCGTTCGGCTCCGTGGAGGAGCAAAAATATGCTCCCCGCCTGAACAGGGAGGGTTTGGTGTGCTCAGCCGGATGTTCAGGGTGAAGAGATCTGACCAGGGGACTGCATTTACAGTCATCAGATAAACATTTATCCCCATCCCAAAAATCAAACCCAGCATGGGACCTGCTTGATGCGTGGGACTTGATACAAACTGGGAGCGTCCCAGAGCCTCCGTGGATGACACAAGGTCCTTGACCTGAGAAGAGGCTGCCTCATTGACATGAACGTTGAAGTCCTCCAGGATTAATAGCCTGGGGTGCTCCATCGCCCAGTCAGAAACAGCATCTAACAGGCCAGACAGGGTATCTGCTGGTGCGTTAGGTGGATGGTACACCAGCCAGATAGCCAGACTCTCCTCAGCATCCCATGCCAGGCCAACACATTCAAGGCCAGTGATTTTTGGTGTGGGGAGCACCCTAAAGGAAAGGGAATCTCGGGTCCCTGCCACACGGCAGGGAAAACACTGGCCAAAGTGCGGCTTTTAAAAGCCGCACCAAAAAAGAGACGCCGCGGTGGGATCCCACGATCCCCTGAGCTGCAGCGCCATTGCTCCCCGGCACGATCAGATGCCAGGGAGGAAGAGACGATTGGGAGGCTGCTGAACTGCGCATGCTCGAGCATGCGCAGTACGGCCGGGGGCTGGGGATGCGCCGGCGGAAAGACGCGCCGGCGATCCCACGGCCGGCAGTGATGCAGCCTTTCGGAAAGAACCACCTAGGTAGGTGGTTCTTTTTTGCTGCGGGGTTTGGCCGGGAGGGGCGGATTGGGAACGGGCTGGGAACGGGCGCAGCACGATTCCCAGATGTTGCTGTGGGATCGCACCCGTTTGCTGCGGCCCCGATCCGTCCCTCTCCTGGCCCAAAACCTCTCGTGTGAACACAGCCTTGAATGAGCAGTGCCCCCCCCCAGTTGTCCAGAACTGGTGAAGGACCGAGAACTCAGATGGGGCTAGTTGGTTAAGGGTGACAGCTTTGCCCTCCCGCACCCAGGTCTACGAGCCTTCCTCCAGTCTAAGAAGTCTTCCTTCAAACTGAGTGGCTCTTACATTGGAGGAAGATTCCTTAGGCTGGAAGAAGGCTTCACATTTTGCTCAGCGGAATAACAGGATGGGTGTAGGATCCAGCCCACTGTTTCTTCCACTGCCACCTGGCACCCCTCCAAGTCAGGAAGTGGGAGACTGCCCCAGTGTCTTTGATCTGCAACTGAACTCCCAATAGGCCTTGAGACTTGGCAGGTACCTAATCGTGCTAATCAGTGACCTTGGCCCTGCTTATACCCATTTTAATATCTATTTTACTGTTTCAAGGACTGCAGAAGTAGTTCAATGACCTAAATCCTGAACTGACAAATAAGGGGTAATATACCTGACATGAGCAAGGCTGAGACGCAGTCGTTCTTCCCTTGCATTGCGGCCTTCATGAGTGCAGTCAGACCCCGGACATCGCGCTTTTCAATCTCTAGTGCTGGGTAGTAGTTCAGAAGATAGTTAACAATAGTGGCGAAACCTGCATGGTGATAGGAAGAAAACATAGTGAATTCACACATTCTCCAGAAATAAAATATAATTCAGCATGCATTTGGTGCTAATGCATCAAAGGGAATAAATAACTAAGCGGCTGCTTTGATCTGAATTCTGCTGTGCTCCTTTGCTCACATTGCAGCTGTTTTATCAATGAATATGTAATTCTATTAAGGTAAAGTTAAAGGTTTCCCTTGCTTAAAAGCCAGTTGAATCAGACTCTAGGGGGCGGTTTCCAAGCCAAAGAGCTAGCGCTGTCTGAAGACTTTTCTGTGGTCATGTGGCTAGCATGACTAAACGGCGAGGTGCATGGAACGCCGTTACCTTCCCACCGAAGGAGTACCTATTTATCTACTTGCAATTTCTTGCTTTTGTACTGCTAGGTTGGCAGGAGCTGGGGTCAGAGACGGGAGTGCACTCTGTCATGCATCACTCAGGTCTCAAACTGCCAAACTACAGACCTTCTGGTCTGCAGCTCAGGGTCTTCACCTCAGAGCCACCGCAGCCCCTGTAATTCTATTACACAGCAATATATAACAATGTTCAACATTAGAAATATTTCTGTAGAAGCCCACAGATACGAGCCAAAAATATACAGATTAGAGACATATCCACTCCCCAGTGCTTCTAGTTTAAAGAGACCATCTCACACCGCAATTTACAAACAATTAGCTAATCAGTCCAGCCATGCCAAAACATGATGGAACACAAATTGTAAAATGTAAATGAACCAGTCTCTGGTAATCACTGTTATTTCCATTGCAGAACTGTTGTTTCAAAACTTCACTGGAATGACAATTTTTCTTGTCTTAAAGGGTTGAGAACAGCATTTTGCATACAAGGTGGAGAATAGGCTTATGCCACGGTATAAGGGTGATCATTAAGGCTCTTTACAAAGAAATGGGCTCCGTTTAAGACAAGAAAAAATGTAATTCTTTTTTTAACAGATAATTTTTATTCATTTTTATAAACAGCAAAGATTTACAAGGTAAGCATGAGCATAGTCAGCTCTCAATGGCTTCATACATTTCGTACAATTTGTCGGTATTATACAGTTTGAAAATTACCATAGATGCAGAGTGTTTATTACATCAGGTACTGTTTCCTTGGTAGATAGATGTACTAGTATGGGGTACCATATACATACAATGTCATTCTGACCACCTCTAGATACATTTTGTTTCAGAGTATCTGAGATTTCCTCCATTATATAAAAGTTCCATAGCTTTTTGTACCAGAGGTTTACATTTAGCCTACTCGTGGATTTCCATGTGGCTGCTAATGTGGTTTTGGCTGCAAATAGTAATAGAGAGATTCTTTTCCTTTGTGTATTAGATAGAGCCTTTTCCTCTCTGAGATTTAAAAGCAGAGCTTCCGGGGATTTGTCTATCTTGATTTTGGTTATGATCGTTATTTCTTCTATTATTTTATCCCAGAAGGATGCTACCTCCAGGCAATCATACCAGCAGTGTATGTAACTGCCTATTTCCTTACACCCCCTCCAGCAAAGTGGGCTTGAATTTGTTGAGGAGTTTTGTAATTCTGATGCAGGGTTGCCAGGTCCTAACTTTCCTGGAGCTTCTGCCACACATGGGGCATGATGATGTCACCCAGAAGTGACATCATCGCGCCACCAGCATTGCATGGCAACGCTCTAGTTTTTGGGCAGAACTCTGTGGTGTGAACCTGATTTTACCATAGTGTTTTGTCCCAAAACTAGAGCGTCGCTGTGCAATGTCAGCGGCGTGATGGCATCCCTTCCAGATGATGTCATCATGCCGCATTTCAGGGCATTTGTGGGGGGATTCCCGCCACCAGTCAGCTGGCTGGTGGCAAAAGGATTTTATTAGATTTATCGCCCTCCCTGAGCCCATCTGGGGAAGATGGTATCTAATAAAAATTTTAAAAAATTTAAAAGCGGGGAACCCCCGCCCAGACTGGGGGACTGGCAACCATATTCCAATAATATTTTGAAAAAGGAATCTACGAAACGGCCCTTATTCCAGAGAGGCACATCACGTTTATGTTTTGAACACCTATGTCCTGACGGACTTCAGTCTGAGGCACAAAGGTTGCTTTTCTCTTTGTTTTGACTGCAACAGTTCTGCAATGGAAATAACAGGGATTACCAGAGACTGGTTCATTTATGTTTTACAATTTGTGTTCCATCATGTTTTGGCATGGCTGGACTGATTAGCTAATTGTTTGTAAATTGCGGTGTGAGATGGTCTCTTTAAACTAGAAGCACTGGGGAGTGGATATGTCTCTAATCTGTATATTTTTGGCTCGTATCTGTGGGCTTCTACAGAAAGATTTCTAATGCTGAACATCATTATATATTACTGTGTAATAGAATTACATATGCATTTATAATATAGTTCCTAAAGAAATTTGTTATAAGAGTATTTCACAAGTTGATCATTTGTCTACTTTGGTGTGGGGTTTTTTTTGTATTTATATCAACTTCCACACTGAAAGTCCCCTTTTAATTATGACCACATTGCAGCTATGGCAGTGAACTGTGTAGTCAGACTGTTAGAAGCACCAGTCTCCAGAGTGAGCATACAGGGCTGGATCGGTGCAATCCTTTTCTCACGCATAGGAACAGAAAGGCTCAATGGACTGAATAAAGTGCCCCCCCCAATTGGTTGTATTGTGACTCTTCAGACTTGTGAAAACAAATAAATATTAGGTTTACAACTGAAGTATCATGTTCTCTGCAATAATATATTGGAACACTTCCTGTCGATAACTCAATGTTCTCTAGGTTTTTAATTGTGCATATTTACCATATTCATTCCCCTTCCTCCCCAGAGTTCCATGCCTATATCAAAACACAGCTAAATTCTCTGAATCTTTGATTGTCTGAATGCTTTGGAAATGCCCTGGTGTATTTGCAATGTGGGCTAATGGGGATCGTACTGCACTATAATGTTTTAAGTTCAAGTGAAGACAGACATTATATGTAAAAGAGGACTCAGAGCAAATCCTTTAGCTGTGGTGTGAACTTGGCCTTCTCTGAGTTTTGCAAATTGAATGCCACCTAATCAAAAGCTGATTTGGCTTACCTCTCTCCTCATGTGTCAGGCAGGTTGTTCACTTTTTATTTTTAAAAACATCTTGCCTTTAAAGAAACATTCTTTGAAAAACGAAAAACTGTGGGCTAAAGTTTTGTTGGTGTTAGCTGCAAACTTCCAAAGCTGCCTTGCCTGTCTCCTTCCTTTCCTCTATTCCAAGAGACTGTATACATTACACAGAGGCAAACATCCATGTCGCCTTGGTGGGCACTCTGGAGGGAGCTCTCAGAGGCAAACAGCGTATTGCACTCAAATGCATGTAATGAAGCACCAGCATTATCATTCTTTAGTGAAAAGCAGCCTTGGGAGGCTGTGATTTTCAGCAGAGCTATCAATGTTTAACTCTTTTCCTGTAGGCCAGTTTTCTGTTCAGAATTGTCCCTAAACTATTTCACTTGCCATGGGTTTCCAGATGTATGTTTATGATGGAAAAGATATACTACTCATTAAGGGAGGAAAACATGGTGGCATTTTGATCTTCCTCACAAGCACTGCTCTCTAAGCCCCTCCCTTCAGAAATGAGGCAAGTGGGGAGACAGGGCATTTTCAGTGGTGGCACCTTGCCTGTGGAATGTCATTTCCCTTGAGGCTCACATAGAGCCTACCTTACTATTTTTTTAGGTGCCAGGCTAATAGATTTCTTTCTACTCAGCCTTCTGATTAAGAGAACTCATTTTTACAGTACGCCTTTAGCCTGAGTAGTATTGTGTGAGACTTATTTTAATGTCCGGGTTTTAACAATTTATTAATTTTTACAACTTCTATGGTATTTATGTTCTTATGCCAAGAGAACTCATTTTTACAGTACGCCTCTAGCCTGAGTAGTATTTTGTGAGACTTATTTTAATGTCCGAGTTTTAACAATTTATTAATTTGTACAACTTCTATGGTATTTATGTTCTTATTATGTTTTACTTTGTAAGCTGTCTTAAGCAGATTCTATGGAGAGGAGTCATAAAAATAATGCAAATAAATAAATAAATAAATATTTTTAAATGCCATAGGAGCTTCATTGTATACAGTTTTCTTCTCAGCTTCAGCCAGTCAGAACTGCCTGACAATCAAGGTTGCCATCTCTGGGTTGGGGAATACTTGGAGATTTTAATGGGGTATAATGCCATAGAGTCCACCTTCCGCAACAGCTGTTTTCTCCAGGTGACCTGATCTCTGTTACCTGGAGATCAGATGTAATAGCAGGAGATCTCCAGCCACCACCTGGATGTTGGCAACCCTCCTGATAAATGTAGCTGCATGATACATGTTAGTAAACATGCTTACTGCATTCACACTTAGTTTTTTTAAGGTGTACTCTTAAAACATTTTGGGTGTACATGTAAAACTGCAGTGTATGAGGTTTTTCTCCTTAATAATGTGGTATCTCAGCACTCTAATACTATCTAACGAACAGCATTTCCTTTGCATCTCATAGTAACAGAACTGAAATCTTCAGTTTCATCAGAAGAATATATACTTTGCTTTTATGCGTACTGGCGCGCAAAATGTGTCAGAGCACATGGCATACCCACAACACTAACACTAGTTTGGCTGAAGGAGGACCAAGGAGGTAGGCAACACCTGGATGGGCTTGACTCAGTTCCTTGGTCAGCGGGCCTCCCACCTCTGTAAGTGCTGGTGATTATGGCTGCTGAGCAGATGGCAACTGACATGTCAAACCATAGGTAATATCAGCCTATCACATGTCAAAAATGGAATTTTTGCCAGGAGCAGGTTATTAAAGCTACTTTGAACCTTGGCCTTTGCACCATAAACTTAACCACTAATCCTTCCTTCTCAACCAATGCCGAAGGATTCAAAACAATGTCAGATTGTATATTAAGAATTTTTTGCAATAGACAGTCTGCACTCATTTTGTCATTGGCATAAAAAGGTAAAAGTTTCCCTTGCTCGAAAGCCCATTGAATCCAACTCTAGGGGGCGGTGCTCATCTCTGTTTCCAAGCCAAAGAGCCAGCGCTGTCCGAATACTGTTATGTATAACTGATAGCTCTTTTACCCAATCATTTCTGTATATTTGGTTGAATATTTCTCAGGGTATTATTCTACACTATTGAATTCCACAGTTTACTTGCATGCATCAAAAAACTTTCTTAACTAGTAGCTGTTTCATTCTGTTGTGACTCCCACTAATTCTGCCATGTTCCTGGATTCCACTGTGGCTCTCTGCACAAATGCAGCATGTCTCCTTCTCCTACCTGCCTGAGCAGCTACCATGAGTGCGGTGTTTCCATCATTATCCTGATGGTTGACATCTATGTAGGGGCATTTGCTGAGAACGACGACAATGTCTATGAAGCCTTTGTAACATGCCACTAGTAGACAATTCTGTGGAGGAAAGGGGAACCAGGGTTAAGATTCAGCTAGTTAAAAATATGGTGCTCTAGAAATAGACTTTACCATCCCATCCACCCCCTTTGGATTGCTTTATCCTGCCCTCCTGTAATGCTGGTAATTGGTATACCAGGATTAATCCCAGTGGAATATGACCACAGTTCTATGCTCCCTCACCAGCAAAGCCAAAAATCACATGAGGACTTAAAATCAAGGCTAACACAGCAACATAACAACCATTCCCATTATAGCATCTCCACTTCCAGCCATCGACCACAGTATTGTATGCTGATGCTGGTCCCTATTGGTCTTGAATGGAAGGCGTCTAGCAATGAACAACAATGGCAGGAAAACCATGATGTCACAGAACCCAGTTCACATACCTCTCTACACACAATGGGTTCAACTTCCTTCCCATGGCCCCCTTGGAAGGAAACTTGCACGTAAGATTCATAGTCTACAGGCTGACCCAAAGAAGGGTCTGCATCCTGGTGGGCTGCCAATGTTTCTGTGCAGCTAACGTAGGATGACACCTCTCTGTACGAGGGGAGGAAGCATTTTTCAAGTGGGCCACAAGGGAGAAAGAAGCAACAACTGCAAAACTGTGCCTTGGCTCAGTGGGGAAGAGCAAAGTACTGGGGAAAAGGAGATGGTGAATTGAGCCACCCCCAGGAGATGAACATCGATCAATCTATCGACCTTTATTGGCATAACATACAGAACATACGACTCAATTTGCAAGGAATACTGAACGCCTCTTTGAGGTTTCATACAGAAATTTTGCAACAGTCCCAATTATTATATGATTCTGGGTTGTCAGCAAAAAGTAAATCTTACATTTATCAGGTTTCCCTGAATACTTTCTCAGCCATGGCTCAATGAATGTAAGGTGCAGGTCCGAGTAGAAAGTACATGAAAGAAACACATGTTCAAGAGTTTCTATCTCCTGCTTAGTGCAGGAACACAATCTACTGTCAAATGGGATTTAAAGGGCATTTATGTGGAGTTGTAGCTCTGTGGAACTGCACAAGCACAGTGCACAGAAGACTCCAAGTTCAGTGCTTGGCTATGAGCTTGTGGAAGAAGCAGCTGTGAAGAACCCACATACCCACTTGTGATTAACTAGAGCCAGAGTGGCTAGAGCTTGGAACTGTAGCATGAGCTGCCTGGTGGCAGAACAAATCTAGACTCCAGTGGCACCTTTAAGACCAACAAAGGTTTATTCAAGGTATGAGCTTTCACGTGCATGCCCACTTTTTCAAATATTCTTCCATTCCAGTGTATTTGAAAAAGTGTGCATGCACACGAAAGCTCATACCTTGAATAAACCTTTGTTGGTCTTAAAGGTGCCACTCGACTCTAAATTTGTTCTGCTGCTTCAGACCAACATAGCTGACTGTCTGGATTTATCTGCCTGGTGGTGTGATCTTTTCCTAGGACCATACACAGAACAGGGTGGCTAAACCTGCTTTAGCCACCCTAAAGAGCCAGTTTGGTGTAGTGGTTAAGTGCGCGGACTCTAATCTGGGAGAACTGGGTTTGATTCCCCACTCCTCCACTTGCACCTGCTGATGTGACCTTGGGTCAGTCACAAGCTCTGGCACAGCTGTCCTTGAAAAAGAGCAGTTTGTGTCAGAGTTCTCTCAGCCCCACCCACCTCACAGGGTGTCTGTTGTGGGGAGGGGAAGGGAAAGGAGTTTGTAAGCCGCTCTGAGACTCCACGTGAAGGGCAGGGTATAAATCCAATCTCTTCTTCTTCTTCTTCTTGCTTGTGGGCCACATGGCACCGGCTAACGAACTGCACAAAAAGTGCTTCTCTGCTTTTCGTCCTGCTCCTGGACCAGATGGATTAGATGGAGCTGTACAAAAGCCCCAAAGGCTGGGGTTTTTTTGTGTCTTTGTGTCTAGGGTTTAGGAACGCAGCAGTGGGCTAGCTTAGGAACTGTATGGTTCCCTGGAGCCATAAAAACAAGCCTTGGAGGGTTTTCCACTCTTTCTTCGAGAGCACTACAAAGTAGCAATCAATACAATTAAAAAGGGGTAGTGTTTTTTCAACAAGAGCAAAAGCAAATGTGAAACCTAAAAAGTAAAACCACTGCTTGAACTCAGCTTTAGATTCAGCACCAAGTCCTGCCCACCACTTTGAAAGATTCCTCCCTCTTTTGAATAACTCCTCCCTCTTCTTTCTACAGATTTGATGGCAACTCATGCTTTTAATACAGAGATCTGCAGCCGTTGCATGTAGTTGGCCCATTATTATGTGATTTTACATTTCCATAGGAGGGTCCTATATAATCCTTTTCACAGAAACTGAGAACTGTCTGTGGACTTGAAGTGTGCAGCATAGGAGCTGGCCATGATGTGGCAAAGTGCTCCATCATGCATTCAGAGATCAACATTCAGCACCTGACAAGATATCACCATACTTCATTGGTGGAGGAAAATTGATCTAGCTACATAACAGGGCAACTGGAGGACCACTGCACAGTGTACCTGCTGGAGGGCAAATTGAGCTCACTGCATGGCTGGGATGATTTATGGACATTAGTGACTGCAGAGTTAGGGATGGTTGAATTATGTGCTATCAGTCTGTAGCTCTGTCTTCCTAAGTGGAGGTTGCATCCAGTGCTCCCTCTAAGCTGCAGAGTCTTGTGAGCAAAAATTCTACTTTGTGAGCTACTAGCATTAAAGTTGTGAGCGAGCGATTTGATTACTGCATAAATTAGTTTGCTCTGGAACCATCTTTCCTGAGCTAAGACAAAAATTTGTGAGCCAGAGGCTAAAGGACTGTGAGCTAGCTCACACTAACTCAGCTTAGAGGGAACACTGGTTGCATCCCATTTAGGGATATCACTTTTGAATTTGTGTGTATCCCATTTGAGCCATGCCTTCTGTTTCAGCCTGTGGCCACTAGCTCCTATATGCTGTGCTGGAGGTTGAGTGTCTAATTACCCGTCTATTGATGTCCAGTTCCATAACTTCTTCCCGAGTTACCCCACTGTCCAGTTTCTCTTGAAGACGTCTGGCATCATTCTTGACACAGCAGCAGTAGAATGTGAGCTCTGTGTCAGTATCCTTGTCAGACGTATCTGACTCATAGAAAGGGTAGATAGAGTCTTCAGACAAGATGCTCTTGATATCTGAATAATCACTGTCACTGTCACTCTCACTCTCGCTGTCTTCAGACAGGATGCTCCTGAGAACTTCATGATCAGTGTCTTCAACCTCTTCTTCATCTTCATCTTCCTCGTAATATAATTCAGGGTCTGACTCATCTAGGGTGGGTGATGTGTTTGTGCATCGCTCTTCTCCACTGCTGGCATCACTCATCCAGCCTGCTCACAGCAAAAGGGGCCTCTTGTCTTGACTGCCCATGGGACACATTTCAGTGGCAATGACCTTCCCCCTATGCTCTGCAACCCTCTTCAGTTACACACTGGGAGACCTGCAATGCAAAGAAGATTATTTGCCGGTGCCACCCACTTGTAATGACTGACACTACTGTTCCCCCCCACCCCTCCAAACAGCCCTCCCCAATATGATTTTCTTCTGAACATTTAATGGGTGTGGGAGATCGTTGTTCTGAGCCCAAGTGATCTGATTGGTGATGATCTTAAGCCCGTGGATTGACACTCTCAGGTGGGTCATGAGCCCCTACAGAACCATCATTGTGGGCAGGGCTTTTTTTTGTAGAAAAAGCCCAGCAGGAACTCATTAGCATAATAGGCCACACCCAACAGCAGAAACTCATTAGCATGTTAGGCCACACCCTGATAGCACATCATATTAGCATATTAGGCCACACCCCATGTTACCAGAAGTGTGGTCATCCAGCCACATCCACCTTTTGCTTCTTATTCTATTTACTTTGTTGTCAAAACCTAGGGCTTTTTTTGTAGCAGGAACTTCTTTGCATGTTAGGCCACACACCCCTAATGTAGCCAATCCTAATGAGTTTCTGCCATTGGGTGTGGCCTATTATGCTAATTAGTTCCTGCTGGGCATGGCCAACGTGGGAGCCAGCTGGAACTCCGTTCCTGTGCGTTCCTGCCCAAAAATAGCCCTGATTGTGGGTGTTTTGTTTTTTTAAAGACCTCCTGCTAAAGTACATGGGAAGAGAGTATGGAAGTACATGCCACCTCCCCTGCTTCTCTTTGCACACATGCAGGATGGCCAGATAAGATCACCTAGTGGAGGTGAAGATTTTAGTGTAAGCAGGATGCTCTTTGTCCTTTCATGCAATTCTGGTGTCCTATTACTGTGTTACATGCTTGCAACTTCCATGGACTGGATGCTCTTTGTCCTTTCATCCTGGTGTCCTATTACTGGTGTTACATGCTTGCAACTTCCATGGACTGCAAAAGCTGAAGCCATTTAGAGCAGTGGTTTTTAAACTGTACGCAAGGGGAACTTGTTTTTTTTCTTTTTTTAAAGAGAAGACCAATAATGGCAAAGAAGTTTGTCTGAAATTTATTTGTTTAACAACATTTACATCCTGCTTTCCTTCCTAGAAAGGTGCTGAAGGTGGCTTACAAAAATTAGGAAGAACAGTTTCCTTCTGCTACCAGTATTGCCCTGTTATGCACAGGAAAGGGAAGTATCAGGTGTATTTTAGGGGTGCATTTTCAGTTCACGTAGTGAAGGTCTACAGTTTGTGGGAATTGAGTGAATCCCCTAGAAGAGGCACACATCGAAGAGTTCTGTGGCAAACATGTAGAGGTTCTTCAGCAGACAAATTGACACAGAGAGGACATCTTATTTTCCCTTGGGGTCTCAGTTGACCACATTTTAGGCCTAATTGTAATATCAGTCTGCATTGGTAGTCATCTGACACCTTTAACCACATCAGAGGGGAGAAAATACTGTTTGGGGGGTCATGTTTGGAGCTATGTATGGCTAAAATCTGTTGAACCATACAGAGAATTTGTCATAAAACAGCTTAGTATGTGAAGCTGAACCTATTTAGTTCTGTTTTAAACACCCATCTATGCAGGTGGCAAAGCATATAAACTGGTCCCCTATGCATTCAGTAAGATCAGTGTTCTTCAGAGTAGGAAGCTGTCCCCAAATAAATCCAGAGTTATTCTTCCCAGAAAGAATGAATCTAGGCCTAAAAAGGACCAAGCGCAATTCAGACACTATGGTGGTGGCATGGCTGTCACTGATTCAACTCAGGGCTCTGTATGGCTGGCACCACAGTAACTGGCTTCCCATGCAGAGTTACCATATAGCATGGTCCCCAACCTAGCACCACTGGAGAGAGAGGCAACACTAGAATGGGGACGTACCAGCCATGTTGTATGGTACCAATAATCCAGCCAAGCCATCCCTGGGAAGTTAGTTACAGGCATGAAAGTTAACCATGTATAGTTCCAGCCACACAAAAACATTTTCAGGCACTCACTGACATGCTGTGCCTGGGACTGCATACTAGTGCCTCGCACAATGAGCCACTCAATATGGAGATTATATTGATCTCTAACTCTTCAGTGTGACTCTACTACCTTCACCAAGGCAGACCATTGGATCCCCTTGCCTTGGCCTGTGGGTAAATGCTTTTCCATCAGGCTTGTGTACTGTAGGTAGAGTTGCTGACTCTGGGCTGGGAAATTCCTGGAGAGCTGGGTTTGGAGACAGACCTCCGTAAGGTATAATGCCAAAGAATCAGCCATTTTCTGCAAGGGAACTGATCTCTGTAAATCTGGAGATCAGTTGCGATTCTGAGAGCTCTCCTGGCCCTGCTTGGAGGTTGGCAACTTTAAGTACACAATTTATTTATTTGCCATTTTTGGTATTTGTGTGTATGTCTGCACCTGGAAGTCACGTTGACCTCTAGTGACTGACCTCCAGGGGCCTGGAGGATATTCAGAGTAGTAGCTGAATAAAGCCTGCCTCTGTCCTCTTGACTTGGTATTCCAAGGAAGTCTCCCACCCAAGTACTAACCACAGTTGACCTTGCTTAGCTTCCCAGATCTGATGGGATCGGGCTTGCCTGGGCTACCCAGGTCAGGATGAGGTTGGCGACTTTAGTACCAATAAATTCTGGCCTTGTCAGAGTGGCTTGCTAAACTCCCTCTAGGTACCTGCTCATCAGCCAGATAACTTATCTTGTGGTTTCCCTCCCTGCTGGCTTCAGTCTTCAAGCTTTCTTGTCTGTCTGCTGAAGGGTCCCGCTTTTCTGGTCCCTGTTTCTGATAAACCTCTGCCCTATTTTATTCCTGATTTTGCCCTCAGGGGAGGCCTTGTTAAGATTTTGAATGAGTTGCTAGGGTTGTTGTTCAGCTTGCTACATCCATCTAAGCTCAATTGTGGCTACAGCTTTTTAGCATTGTGTAGCATAATTTCAGGGGAAACTTTTTTTAGTTTTTTGGTCTGGGAAATTAACTAGTTACCAACATATATAAATTCTTACCAGAAGGTAAGAATGCTTTAAAACCAAGTTAGGGTGTCAGACTAAGGTCTGGGAGTTGTGGTAAAGATAAAATGGAAAAGGGGAACACGAAATTGTAAGTCACTTTGGGCCCTCATTGGGGATATAGTATTTAAATAAATTGATTACAAAACTAAATAAATAAAAATTAGGGCTGATTATTAATTTTTTCCATCAAATGCCTATGAGAAAAAGCCCAATGAATATGTTTGCTTTATGACAATCTCCCTGGTGGTTCACATCTCACTTCCATAACACATTATTATTACAATTCTGTATGTAAGTAGAGAAAATCATTGATGCAGAGAAGCCAAATGCCATACCCAGCAGGTGTCCAAAGAACATAGCCAATGTTTTCACAAAACCACCAATTTTTATTGCATTCAATTCAACCTCTATCTTGAAACATTAATAATTTTGTTCTTGAAGTTTTGGCAAATTAGTTTCTCTTTTAAATCTGGATTCAGTAATTTGTCTGGAGCATAGCATGGTGTTACAAGCTACATCTGAGCACCCTATTGGGCTTCTTAAGGTCCAAGCCCTGACACACACACCCTTTGTTAAAACTGTCCCTTTTGAAAACTTATGCCCACTGACATCAGTCCATGGGCCCTGTGTGTAGGGCTGTCATTACATTAGTTGAGACTGGCGCCATCAAGAACCAGTGCTTTGGGGTTATGGTTCCCTGCTCTTTGGAATAAGGGATGCAAAATATTTTGTTTCATCTGCAATCATTTGATTATGTTTTATCTGACTATTCTATATTCACCAAAGTCTGATTTGCTGAATATGTTATCACTTCTAAAATGCATTTGATTTATTACTTTATTGAATTGTTTTTAGATTTTTTAATGTCTCTTAATTTGACTACAGGAAAAGTAGTACAGAAACATTTTAAATAAATAAAAATGAAAAACAGACATCTCAGAAAAAAGGGCTGCCTGATAGGTTAATGTAACTGACAATGTAATAGCTATAAAAGCCAAACATTGAGCAACCCTTTCCCTATCACCAAATTTGGTGTAAAAATATAAAACCCCAATCCACAATTTTGATAACTTTATAAACAAATGATATCCCTATTACATTCTAAAACTGCCTTATTTAAAACACAAAGTTTTCAATTGTTTTGTTATGTCCTTGTATGTTGCTAGATAGAATTTCTGTATAATTTCAGACCAAAATTGCAGTGCTTACCAAAGTTATGCCATAAGGAGCCAAATTCTCAGAGAGAATGAACAACTGAAAAAGCTTACCTGGGTATCATGTGAATTCTCCATTGCTTGTTGCCTTTAAGATCAAGAGTGGACATCTAGTCTCAAAGTTTGCCAGAATGTCCAAGGATGGTTCAGTAAATGAATGGTGAAGCCAAATGGTGATAAGTAGAAAATGTATTCTGATCTGATTCTTGTTGAGGTCCAGTAATGCTCTTTGCCTTAGAAAATAATCCTTGAAGTTACTGATTACTCCATCCCTGTGTCCTGGTTAAGACTCCCCCCCCCCAAATATTCAAATATTTGTGTTCTTATGCTTATTCCCTTTGGGTTTTATTGTAGAGTGCACTGAGATGCTGAGGCATGTGGAAACATCCTGACAGTCTCCCGCTATCCCCAGGTAGGAAAGGAGCGTTGACCTTGGGCCTGAAATGGGGATTTAGACTCCAGAGTGGTGACAGCTTGCACGTCCTCATAGGCTTAGCTAGCAAAGACATCTTAATTGGCAGCGTTGCTTAAAGAGGCTCTGACCTCTGAGTAGGATTTGGAGACTTTAAATCAGTTGTTAATTTTAGCTACTGGACTCTTGTTTATTTGCATATGGGATTTCCAAACTTATCAAGCAGAATGAAGCTACTTTGGCTTGGGAGAAAGAAGCATTTGGATCCCAGAGTAACAATGTGCTT